GTCACTCTGCAGAGAGAAAAAGTCACTTCACTGCCTGTATTTTTGTGAGTCTGCATGACTACTCTCTTCTTAAAGTGATCAAATACAGCAAACTTCATAAGAGTGGAGAGAAGGGGGGGGGGGTTGAGAGATGAGAGGAAAAGCTCATCTGCATCTGTATTTGAAGTGGCAAATGCAAATGGACCAAATGATCTGACAAGAGGAAAATGTGAATTCCTCTCTGCAGCTATTTGCAGGGAAAAAAAAAAAAAGAAACGCTCTGTTTTCTCTATTGGACAGGGCCTTTTACATTCCTACAAAATGCCATCCTATCAGACATTTAATAAACCACCATAGTTCCATCTTGAAATTCCTGATATTCTCAAACCATTCAGAGCAGCGATTAGTCTGTTTTGTTTGAGATTTTACTTGTCTTCTGCTGCAACAGAAGCAGTGTCAGTAGCTGGTTAAAAGGCTGTGGGCTGTGAGACTTACAGTTTAAAGACAACTTTTACAGCAAAGCTGAGAGCAAGAAGACACACAACAAGCTCAGTCTGCCAGCCCTTTTATCATTGTTTTTCAACTTTTTCTTCTTCATTTCTGCCTCCCAGCAAAATAGCGGACAGCGACTGACTGAGGACTGTGATAGACTGGTAGTTTAGCAAAATCGCATTGTGTTCATGTTTTACAGACGCTGGAAAATACCAGTCTCCGGGCTTTCTCATGTGTTGACTGTTTTGCTCCAATCTCTTAACAGCTCTTCATGTAGATGAGTTCATTGTCACCACAATGGTGACAGGCAGTGTAGGTGTAACAGTCGAAAAGGAAAAGACAAGCAAGCACTGCTGCAGTCTAGACTTCACTTTGAGTCTCTGCTGAGGCTCCCTGCCTCAGCCTGCCTGCCTCCGAACTTCTCCAAACTTCAAGAGAGCAGAAGTGGGGAGGAGGGAGAGAGATAAGTAAAAGCTCATCTGCATCAGTCAAATATAAATGGAGCAAATGATCTAACATGAGGAAATGTGAACTCCTTCCTGCTGCTATTTGCAAATGTAGTAAAGGAATACCTCTCACACTGTAATATGGGGCAGGGAACCTTTTTCCAATGAAGTGCTATCACATTGAGTTGTGATGCTTCTATATCTATAAGTATCCCAAATTCTATACAAATACTGTGCTGTACTGCAAAAATTGATCCCTTTCTGTCAGTGGTGGAAAAAAAAAATGTCAGAATGCACCATGTGCTATACTGCCAGAAATGTTGACTGAAAAAACACTGCATGCAAAACATGCAACAATACCTTTAAATCTTTAAAAGTGACATCAACAACTTAACTCTTAAGAAAACAGCAAGCTACAAGAGCAATGAAGCGCTGACGGAATAATTGCCTGCAGGAGCAGTCAACCTGAGGCAAGCTAACAACAAAGTTAGTGATCTAGTGCAACTTATGCTACTTGTCCCTAACTTCTCTTGGTCAAAGGCAATAACTGAAGCAATGTTTTATTTACAAGGACATGCACCCATTCAGTGTTGATGACAGAGATTTAGATGGATGGCGATGACCATGCAGTCATGGCGAACAAACACCCAGTTGCCAAAATTTAAGTGGAAACTGCATCTTTTTTGGGGACTGTCCAAAACTGTGTCCTTTTGGTCACTGCTTATTGCTAAAAGGGAACTCCACTGATTTTATACATGAAAGTGTGTTTACAGGTCTTGGGGGAGGCCTACTGCATATAAGGAAAATGTTGTATTAGTGTTTTGTGGCCCCAGAAGGCGCTGTGTGGCGTCTGATAAATTGCCTCAGATGTCACTTGACGAAATGACGAAAAATTGGAGTTTGGAGAACAGTCATCTCTGCTGGAGGTTGCATCAGCCACTACGAGCATATTGAACTGTCAATGGCGGAGTGGCATTGTGGGTAATGCTTTTAAAATACACTTTGGCCTTGGTAGTGGTACTTGTGGTGAATTTTGGTCCGTATTGGACACAACCTTGACAAATTTTACCTCATTTGAAAGCTCTATGCCTCCCTATTCTATCTGTGCAAAGCTTTTTCGGATCCCCATGTCAATGCAGCAGCTGTTGACACAGAATTGGTTAGAAAATTGTAGCTATGGCTACAAAATGTTTTCCACACGACAGATGCTACTACAGGCCTGGTATTCCCTTTCTTATGCCATAGAGGCAAAAATAATTTACATGCCTACCATGCGTGTGCCTCTGTAACTTTGGTTCAGTATCTCTTATACTCATTTTGACTTTTTATTTTAAAATTTAAGGAGTTACATTTTAAAGGAGACCAGTGTTATGATTGTAATCAAAAGGGTTGCAGAACAGTAATCTCTTTATTTTGGGTACATTGTTTTCAGGTTTGTGTACAACAATCGGGGTGTCAGGAGAGAGTCAAACAAGGTTATAGGAGTGGTAAGGAGGTTGATAGATTTTTTTTAGGGGGCTTTTCACACTGGGTACTTGAAATGAAATAGAAAATCTGAATTAATTCATTGCCTGTGAAACATCTCCATTCATTACAATGAATAATCTTAAATAACAAGTTTAAGCTACATTGAGATGTACTGATTCTAAGTGTATGTATGATTTTTATATCAGAATGCGTATCACATATCTAACTCCGTATCAAATTGTCTGAAAGGGATAAATGCAGACCTCAACCGTCTCGGCACGTGTTCAATAAAAGACAACGGTTTCCGTCTTCAAATTCCTGATCGTAATCCAAAGCAGCTCTTTCAATTGATATTCCACTTGACTCGTTCTGCTATAAAACCAATGTGAGTTGCTGGTTAAAGGAGTGCAACCCGTGAGATGAGACGTGTTTTACATCTCTCAGACATGTTTTACAGCTTAGATGAAGGCATATGTTGAGAAGCTAGCGAGGCTTCAAAGGAAGGGGCAGCTAGGTGTCACAGGCAGGCAGAGTGAGAAGAAACTGAACTTGCCAGCACTTTGATCATGTTCACCATTAAAGGCCAGAGCCCTGTTAGGAAGAAAAGAAATGCACTTTTGGATAAGAGCTGTTATTGAAGTGTGGGTTTTTTAAAATCTCTTTTTGAAATGTATATATATATATATATATATATATACATACATATGTACTTTGTATTTCTCCAGTATGTGTTTTACATACGAGGGTACACACACAGTGGAAAATAATGAAATGATAATTCATGCTAATACATATTAAAATAAATATAAATTCAAAGAGTCACATGTTTGAATTTAGTCAAAACTTATGTCAGATAGAACTCGCTTGTGTGTTCTTTCTTTCTCTCCAAGATGACAGAAATGGCATCAGTTTAAAATTTCAACAGAAGTGTAAACAAGATATTAAAATGCAAATTGCTGATAACACAATTGATAATTTCCCCAGCATCAGCTCTGAATCTGTGAGTGTGTTATTTGTAAAGGAAATATGTCTTTATGGGGCATCGCCCTGATGCAGCACAAAGGAGCAGGCATGGGGGGTAGACGACAGGCTTTTAGAGGAAGGAGAGAGGAACAGGACATGATAAGGGATTGTGGAGCAAGAGGAATGACAGTGGGGGAATAATTGTCATCTTTTACAATTGAGACTCCAACAACAGGAAGAGAGAGCAGAAAGTGTTGGATAATTAGAGGAGACTTGGATTTTCAGCCGTGGTAACAGCAGCAAGGAAACACACTACTCATTTTGTCCTTTTTAAAATCCCAATTTTCTCTTGTGTGCCTATCGAGTTTTAGTGTGAATGTTCTTCTGTGTGCTTGCGCGCCTGTGTCTGTGCACGTATGTGTGATCGCTGGCTTCCTTTGCTTAATTTTGCCGTCGGTTCCTTCTTGTCTCCTCTCTTTCCTCTTTTTATCCTTATTTATTTGTCAGAGGTTGTGTTCAGGGACGTTCCTTGTCATTCGTCAGCGCGGCCCATAAAACACACTGTCATGACTGACTGGCCACGCTCCAAACTCATTACCGATTGGCTGACAGAGCGGGTCGCTCTGTTCTGCTCTGCTGTGTTTGACTCCTGTTTGCCAGACATTTCAGGCTCAGGAAACTTTAAATGCGGTGGTGTCTTTCCTCGCGCCACTCCTCTCAGCCTGACGCTCAAGGTCACATGAATATGGATTTACCCTCTCCTTCCAGCGCACACATACTGATGATGAAGTCTAAGATCTACTCAGAGGGATTATAATTCAGAACGTAGGTCTGATCTGGGCCGTCGCTCTGTTCCACTCTCTGTCTGGGTGTGTGTTTTAAGTCGGAAACCAGAGGGGAGGGCGGGAGGCTGAGGAGAGGGGGAGAACGGTGGACGGGTGGGGTGTGGTGGAGTGGTGGGTAAGAGAAATAAGAAAGATGAAGAGGACTACTGTGCGAGCAGAGAGCTGAGATGAAAAGCGGAGGAAGGAGAATGGATGATGATGGTGGAATCAGGGGAGGTGGAGCTGGGTGGGAGGGTGTCATGTAAGAGAAAAGGGAAAGAGACTGGGAGATTGGAAAAGGGCGACGCACGATGTTATTGAGTTTCTGCTGCAGTTGATCAGCCATATCCATTTCATCATATTGAGCTGGCTGTGTGCCACGTTTTGCTGCAGAAAATTTGTCCTCATCAGTGTGTGTATACACAGTGTACACTTCCACGGTGTGCGTTTGTGTGTGTATCCATCCACAAGCTCACTGTACACACCGTTAGTCTGGATTCCATACTAACGGTGTGTACAGTGAGCTCATGTGTATAAGCTGTATGTAGCTTTGCTTTGTTTTGCATGTGCATATACTTACTAAAGTGCTTCCTGTTACTTTCCAGTCATCCAGTCGCGGTCATTTTATGTTTGCTGCAGTATGTTTGACTGACTGGCACATTTTCTGTTCATTCGCTTGCTTTTTTTTTTTTTTTTTTTAACCCTTTCTCCAACTCTCTGTCTTGCTTATAATTTAATCTGCAATCTGACTAATGAGTCATGAACGCTTAATTTACTCTCTCTCATTCTCTCAGTTTTGTTCACTGCTTTGTTTGTTTTTCACTCACAGAAAACAACAAGGCACCTTTGCAAAGGTCTCGCTCTCGGCAGAATATAAATGTGGGTTCGGCGGCAGTGAAAGCTTCCCCCGCCAAGGAGGCCCATAACGAGTCTGAGAGCCATCCATCTGCAGCCAGGGCGAAGGTTGCGGCGTGTTCGGACTCAGGCCGCAGGTACAGGAACACCCCGGGTCACAGCTACGGGCTGGACAGAGAGAGGGTGGTGGAGAGAGAGGCGGTTAAAGTGACTGAGAAAGAGATGGAGGTTGAAGCAGAGCCTCCAGCTTTCCAGCCGTCCTCCACTGGTGCTGCAGTCAGCAGCTGCAGCACCAATGGAGAGTCAGATGTAGAGGCCCTCCTGGCCAGACTCAGGGCCTTATGAGGGTCATCATTTGTCTCTGAAACAAAATGAATGTATACACATCTAAACATGTTCTGAATGTGACCAAAAAGATTTATATTAAGAGAAAGTTGTAAAAGATTTGTCAGGCGTGAAACACCACAATTAAATAACAAATATTAACATTAACTAGGGAAACTGACTTTTTTAAAGCTTCATGATATAAATTTGTTTAAAGATATTCATTTGAAGACCATGTCTTAACAGTCAACGGTACTCAAAGAAAACCCTGGCATGTAGAGCAGAGAAAACTGGTCACACAGAATGTCCTTCATGCAATAGAGGCTGATTTACAAAAGTTCTGATTTAATAAAAATATTAAATGCTAAAAATAAAACAGATAATAAAACAAAACAACAGCCAACTAGATTCAGCAGAGTCTCAACCTGATCCTGCAAAGTCACTGCCAAAAATGTTTGGCTGTCATTTATATATTCCTAACAATGGAAATAACTTTCTCTCAAAGTAAAACATGCAATGTTGCACTTTCTTTGTAATCCAGCAATATTAATATAAAAATAAAAATTATATCACATTTTCTTTCATCTTGGTATTTCCTATAATAGCTTCTAGCATTTATTTGCCCAATATTTAACTGACGTTTACTTTAGTTTTTAATTCCGCATTAGTTATGTGCATGTTATTAGTCATGTACAATAAAACAGACTTTAAGATCATATCTGTATGTATTACTTTTGGTATTTAATTATTTTCTATATTTTTCTTTTTTTCCCCCCCTTTGAATATTTTTCATTCCTTGTGGGGTGATGGGGTGTCTTTTATATTCAAAACATTTATCTAATTGTTTGTATTTTCCATAAAAATATTATCTGCATGATATAAATATAAATACATATATATACAGAGGATCAACATGTACGAGTCACAGGATATAACGGTAATTAGATGTCGTTTGACAAGTTGATTTTGGTTGTATTAGACTGATTTGTCACTGTGTTATATTGCTTGAGTGAACATTTATACACAGTGAGAACAAGTCTGCAGAGAGGAGTGTTATTGTCCAAAATGTAGCCCAAGGAAACAAGTTCATCCAGCCACAGGTTACTACAGAACTGATTCAGTTTTTTGGTCTTCTACATTCCTACTGAAATTACTCCTATCTTAAGCGTATTTGTTGTATCTTTATTCATATCACTCACTTTTACCGACACGTTTACAATAAAATAAAGCAAAAAGCGTTTGTTGTCTTTTTCACAGTTTCATACATAACATAACATGTGACTCAAATGAATGCATGTCAATGTCTGTGTTGCTGTTAGTGTTTTGTTTTTGTTCTGTTGTTGCTGAAAGTCGTCATACTTACAACATTTATCACTTTAGTGAGCCGAAACAGATCACATCCTTGCTACGGCTATCCTATAATAATTGTCATTGATCATGTACAGAGGGCCACAAAATCATCTAAACACCTTACAACCTTTGAAATATCGTTGTTACAGTCACAAGCATATAAACCTGAACTGAAGGTCCAGTATTTAGCAGCACTTGCCAGTTGTAAAAGAGCTAAAAAACACGTTGGAGACAACATGACGAAATCAACACAGCTCCAAAGTGCTCAGATCATCTGTGCCCAAATTCTCCCAAGTGATGATTCAGTCCTTTGTTTTAAGTCCTCAAGTGTTCACAGTATTTTCTTTATCCACTGTACTGTCTCTTTCCACATCAGCTTGGCTGCGAGGATCAGCGTGATCGAAATTTCATGTCCTTCCACTGCTGTTCTGGGCTATATTCATACCTTTAGTAGGAGAATGTGCTGCTGAGAGAGTGCTGTAGGTGTAATATCAGTGGTCACCATCAGCAACTTGCTGGAAGCTATTTTAATTCACTGCCTGTGAATGACCTTTGTATGTTTCTCTTCTGATCTTTTATTTTTATTTACTTATTTTTAAACTGTAATAATTGGACTTCTAAACATGTGGTGCCTTGTTTGCACCGCATACAGTATAAAGAGGCTATAGTGTGCAGTGGTTTTTCTTTTGTTGTTACTCAGTACATAATTTGCTACATGATGAGCAGTTGTCTTATGATTCATGAATAGACTCATAAAACGCTACATAACCATGTGTACACATAATAAAAATCCAGATTTATCTTAGTTTCAGTCTATTTGCATTGTTAAATTTTCTAAATAAAATTCACACCTGACTCGAAGCTTTTCAGGAGCATGTGCGAACTTTAATCACTCACTTTTATAAATTAAACACGCCGTTAAAAGTCACTGTGCTGAACATATGCCTCTTTTAAAGCATAAATCCGTCACATAAATATACAGTCGATAAAGCCCCAAAAAGTCCCGTATAATCCGGACATTGACAGATTCAAAAGAGAGATCTGCCAACCAGTTAACCCGCTGTCTGACAAGGTCTGCTTGCTGTAGCCTGTCAGCTAGTGAATATCTTCAGCACTGGGAGGGACACGACTATGCCTATTTGGAGCAGAGACGAGCACATCCCCAGAGATGCACTCAGCAGTTTGGGTGAGCAAAGTAGCTGTTAACCAAGCTCCTCCAGTGGCCTTGATTTAGCTTTAGCTGGCTGCAGCACGTTTTACTGAGCAGTTTCAAATCAAACCGCTATCCTTCAAGGTCTTTCATGGTTTTCTGCAAGGGTGTTGCAGCAGACACCTTCTTCAGTACATCAGCTTTTTGTAAAAAAAAAAAAAAAACCCAAAAAACCCCAAAAACTTTGCTTTAGAAAAGTTCTTTTTTTTTTCTCACTCTTTCCAATGCCACAGAGAATTACCTCCATATCTGTGTCGCTGGAGTTCGTGAATGTTATTTTGATCTAGGACATTGTGTGTTGGGGTTTTCTGCTTTGCCTAATGTGGCTTTTCTGAGGATGTGCCATGATGTTAATACAGGATAATCAATGTCTGTAAACATGCTTCTGATTTACAAGTGATTCAGGTACAAAAACATAGGTAACACCAAATGCTTTATGAATTCAGCCTCTAGTCTGTCTTACATCTTTGCAGAAATGTACTCTGCATTCTGTAATTTACAAAAAAAAAAACTTGCAACATAAAGGATTTCGTGTGTGTCTGTGTGTGTCTCTCTCTCTCTCTCTCTCTCTCTCTCTCTCTTTCAGGTAAGAGCACTCTGTCTAATTGTGATTAGCCAGAATACATTTAGTCCACATCAGGAGGAGGAACCTGGAGCTGCCTACATATTGACAGTACATTCTCTTTAATTGCCTGCGTGCTTGCAAGATCTAAAATATGATTACATTTCGTTACAGCATCTGTGTGCGCCTGGTCCTTTGAAAGGAGAGCAGGAAAATGACCAGCTAAACTCATCGACACTACAAATTGAGAGGAGAAGGAGAGCATAAGGATGGTAGGATCTTGTTATGCCGAGGGAGCCCTCATTACTCACAGGCCTGTGTTCCAGCCATGAGGTTTATCTATGGGCCTAATAAAGTGGAGCAAAACATATTGTGGAGCAGATTGCAATCTGGGCTTCTTTGATTGGAGATGAAGTTAAAAATGTGTCAGAGGATTTGTTGGGGGGGGGGGGGGGGGTACAAAGCAGATCAACAGATTTGTCACTATTTCTTTTCCCCAAGAGTCAAAGAGTGAGCAATGCTGTATTTATAACAGCCTGTACATATCATACTGTGGAATTTTATGGTGCAAAAATCACTTTGTATTGTCAGGTTGCTTGGCACAATCATTTTCTAATCTACTGCTGGTGGTGTCAGTTACAGTTGTAAAGAAAGTTTAGGAAGACTGTAGCCATCCATCCCTCGCTCCTACTGCCAAATCCGTTTTGGTGGAGATGTAATTGTGCCTGGATTACGATAGTTTAATCAAGTTTTTTTTTTTTTTTTTTTTTTTTTTATACAATCTAGAAAGTTAGATTTTTTTTTTTTTACACAGTGTTGGCACAGGCTATGTCTCAGACCTCTATCAGTGTCTATACTGGAAATGTTCAGCAACAGTACTACCCTGTGATTACCTGCATTTTAGCTCTGCCGGCTGCCCAATACACAATCACTGCAGTTAGGCAGGTAAGATGGAAGTAAATTGACTTGAAGCCTGAAAAGACACTTCAGGTTGCGGTTGAGTAAGTGAAATTTGAGCTGCTGCACGGACTGTGTAGACTGCTTTACTAACTAAAGTTAAAATGCGTCTGCTTTATCAAACACAAGTGAGACGGATAACTGAAAAATGTCACCAAAACTTTGTAGATATTATGTGTCACTGAAGTCACAGGGGGGTAGAAAACACAAGAGTCAGGTGTTCACATCCTGCATCTTATTGTATGTGGCTTATTTGGCTGATGCCACACTAAGCTCATGCTTTTGTTAAATATTGAAAAGGTCAACGCTTCCTGTCTCATGCTATGACACGACACTGTAGGAGAACAAATTCATTAGCAGTAACCATTTTGCAGACACAGTTCATAATGGACGTTTTGCTTTGGCAGTGAAAAGTTTGCAAATACACGCAATATAAATGTTTCATTGTTATGTTGTAAGAATAGTAGGGGGCCTGTTTTACAAAAGTGATTTACAAGCATTTCACCAACGAGACTGTCCCCCTGTGAAAAATGAGCAGGCAGGTCATTTGTGCAGCAACTTATTATGAGCCATAGTTGGGTTTTGTTGTTAGGTGACATCTAGTCGTCATAGTAATTATGACAGGAGCAAAGGGAAAAGTGCGGTGACGTAGTATAAAGAGCGACAAAGTCCGTGGTATGAGGAGGTTGGGGTGGATTGATCGGTCAAAAAAATATAACAGGAGATCAGTGTTCGATTCCCATGTGAAACCAGTAGTTTATATTGTTTCTATTATCCATGACTGTTCGTTGTTATTACTGTAACCATGACAACAAAGATCGTCTGATGTTGAGGAAGAAGGCTACTTATTTTAACCTAAATCATGATCTTTTCCTAAACCTAACCAAGTATTTTTAATGGCTAAACCTAACCAAGCCATTACAGTTATTATAGTAACCACGG